ATTTAAACAATATAGTTAAAATCAAAATTATAAATAACTCCCAATGTGATAGATGCTGAAATCAAACCTCTTTGTGAAATGGTTTATCACACATACATAAGTGTTTTTTTTTTTTTTTTTTTTTTTGAAACCTATCACATATATATGTAAGGGCTTATGGACTACATTTAACTTAATTAAAGATAATAGTATGACTTTAACTAATGAAAACTTTTTAATATTGTGGTGCAAGTATTGTAATATTTATATTTTAAGAAAATGTTGCAATTATTATAAGATGGATGAAGACCATGAAGTATATCATTCTAAAAGATTAAACTAAGTACCATTAATATTTGAAAGCTTTAGGGCATGTTCTCTTCAGCTTAATTTCAGTTCAGTTCAGTTTCTAATTTCCTTATTTCTTAAACAGTTCAGCTCAATTCAGTTTAGTAAATCAGAACAGACCCTTAGTGGTGAAATTTCTGAACTTAAAAATAAATTACACATATTAGTTATTGTAGTGGGGAGGCCAAGTATGTATAAGAAAATTTTAGGTAGCCCTTCTCTCAAGTCTCAGAAGCTATTCTTTTCAGCTTCAGTTCAGTTCAGTTACAATCAGTTCAGTTCATTTCAGTTCTTTATTTCCTTCTCTTATAAACAATTCATGTTAACTTTATTTGGTTTGGTTCAGTTCAGTTCAGTTTAGCTCTAATCGATTCAGTTCAATTCAGCTCCAATCAGTTCAATTCAATTCAGTTTAGTTCAGAAATCAGAACAGACCCTCAATTGTAAAATCTTGAATAACTAAGCCAAAATGTCACAAGTGGCGATGAAACTAGGTTTGTTTACAAAGCTCCCTCATTGTACACACTCTAAACTTTATTCCGTAAAAGATAAGAAAAATTGCATTGACATAGCTTCAAATTCACTCCTCATCCCCAAAAATATGGTGATAAATGATCGGAAATAGTTGATAACTCATTTCTAGATACTATATATATTGCATGAACTATGGTCCATGTGAAGAACAAACTGAATTAGAGTCGGCACTTAGAAGGAGGTTGTAATTGTGTGTGTGTGTTTTTTTTCTTTCTTTCATAGAAATTTAGATTGAGATGTCTTAAAAAGTGGAATTGCCATGTAATGATGCCTCATATATGTCCACAATACCACCTCAAAAGTGCACATAAACTTTCAAGACAAAAGACAATATGCCTTAGCATACTCCAGACTGGCATTGCCAAAGAAAAGGCATACAACCCAAAATCAAATAAGAACCCAAAAAAAGTAAACTAATTTTTATCCTATTATTATTATTATTATTATTATTAGTGGTGTTAATATTATTATTTTTTATGTGATTGTTTCAAATTTCAAGGATAACACTTGTAATTAGGAATTAAGATATGGTTTACAATACGAAGTATACTCCATATCGATAGTGGGGGTATTTATGCACATGGAGAAGGATGGGAGATAGGCAGCATGCCAGAATGTCATATGTGAAATTCCAAAATCACCCCTTATTTTGGGTCCCACACACCCTCTCTGCCAATGAATCTCCCGCTCATGGTTTGTCCCTCCTTGAGTTGACCTGTCCCTACGCGCCTTAACCATTTCTATTGGTGGTTCCCACTTTTTTTTTCAGAAAAAAATAAAATAAAAAAAATTATAAAGTAAATTTGGGTCTACGACTGCCCAATTAATAAGTGACACGTTGTGGGTTGGGTTCTAAACATGATTAGTGTTTGCAATGAGTGAAAAGAATCTGCGTGTCTATCGCAAAGCATATGAAAAGAGGTCAATTTGATGATAATTAGCATTTGCCATTTGGAAATGAAGCTTAACGAATTCTATAATAACATATCTCTTAATTGGCTAACTAAATTTATAGATAAACAAATAGATTATTACCTTTTTTATGGTTGGTTTGGATGATATTTGATCTACGGTTATTATGCATTATTACTTTTCCTATATTACGATCATTTTATAAATGATATCAATTTAATATTGAAAATTTGGAATCTCTAACAAGTCAATTACTTAATATGTATTAAAGTTATTTGTATTATCTCTTGTAAAAAAAAAAAAAGAAGTTGTATTTTTTCCCTTTATGTCTTTCATTTCATTATACTTAATTTATGAATTGATTAAGGAAGTAAATGTTTATCTACTCCTTCCATGTTTTAATAAGTGTTATACGAACCAAATCCGGCCGTGTTTTAATAAGTGTTACACTTTTTTTTTTTTTTGGTAAAAAGCTACATTAGAATATTATATCTCTATTCTCTTATGGTCCCTGCTCAAACCCATTTTTTTTATTATTATATATTTCCTCTCATATTCATTACTTTTCAATAAATTATTAACCCCACTATCAAACTTTTATAATTTTTTAATACTCTAACTACCCCACTTACCTCTTATCTTATTTAAGTCAATCAAATTGTTTAAAACTATGTGCCGGTCAAACTGTAACACTTAAAAAATACGGAGAGAGTATCTTGTTTTTGTAACAAGTATATGTGCTCAACATTTATTTTCATCAGTAGTAGCTTCTCTTGAACTTAATACACATATTAATCCAAAAAAATATTTTGCAAAATAACAAAGCAACACTAAAAAATTCAAAACTTGTTACGTATATCAGGTGTACTGTACATCCAAAATCATTTGCTCATTTAATTCTTGAAACATATATGTTTTCTTCATCTTATCAAAATAAGCTTTAATAAAAATAGGTTAAGTTAGTTAAATATAGAGTACGGAGTAAAAAATAAAATTTATCAAATTAAGTGAAATTAATCCAAAAAAAGTACATCAATACCAAAATTTCAAGAACAAAGTTTCACCAGCAATAGCTAAATTCAACAAAATTAAGTTTTGGCTTTATTCTCTTATATCTTAAAATAATATGTTTAGCATTCATTTAATTAGTAAAATTCAGTTTCAATAAATATAGTTATTTTAGCTAGTCCCCGGCCTTATTTAATTAGTAATATCTATAATTTTAGTTTCAATGAATATAATTTATTTAAAATGTTGCAATTTAATGATAGTAAAAGAAGTATTATGTAATTGATAATTAAATAACTCACTAATATACTTTGATAAGTGTCAATTGTAATAATGTTATTATTGTCCCTAAGTGCTTATCCTTATCCTAATGGAAGTATCAATGCTATAAAACTAGCTACTTCAGTGTAATATGCTAACTTAGAATTAGGTCTTAATTCCCGTAAAAAAAAAAAAAAAAAAAAAAAGAAGAAGAAGAAGAAAAAAAAAAGGTCTTAATTGATTTGGTCACACTAATATTTCACATGCATGACATTAAAGTAAATTCCCCAAAGAATAAATTTTATTGGAAAATAAGTAACTTGGTGAATAAACTACAAAATATATATGTGTACTATCAAAATGATACTAAGGGCCTATTCACATTTGTTGAATTGAGTTGAACTGAACTGATTGAAGCTGAACTGAACTGAATTGAGCTGAAATGAATATTTTATGAGAGAGGAAAAATTAAGAGCTGAGCTAGACTGAACTGATTGGAGCTAAACTGAACTTATTAGAGCTGAACTGAACTGAACTTAAGTAAATGTGAACAGGCCCTAACTCCATACAATTCTAAAAGTTCAACTTACCTTCCCTTCCAAAAAAAAAAGTTCAACTTACCTACTATTCATTTTGTCAAAATAAAATAACTTTGAACATATTTTATGAATTGTACAAAAAGAAGAAAAAAAAAAACCCATGCGAGATCTTATTAGATTCGTTCTAGTATAAAATTTTCAAATATCAACTTTTTATAAGTTTCAGTTTTGCATAGTTAAAGATATTAGTGGTTAAATATGCACATTGGAGACTGTGTAACTATAAAGTGCGTAGAAATTTCAGAAGCAGAGTGAGTGTAACTGTTACAAATTTTAGTTAGTTATGGTCTTATGGAGCTCAAATTTAGAAAGAAATTTATCTAATTTTGTCTTTTGTCTAAACATAGGATTTGGAAACAATATTTTTCATAGGTTATACAAGAAACTATTCGGTTGATCATCATTTAGTTATGAAATTCTAATCTCCATTGAGAAATTTGACAAACCATGGAAGACATTCACATAGGCAATTGACATTTTGAATTAATTACAGACCTTTTTTGTACGGTGTGTGAATAAATCAACATTTTTTTTACTTCTTAAAAACATTTATTTCTCATGGATATGGATATCGAGCAATACAATCACTAAAAGACTTGTTACTATAGTATAGAGGAGATAAATTAAAGTAAGGTAGAGAAACTAAACTAAGGGCTTGTTCTCTTCAGCTTAACTTCAGTTCACTTCAGCTCCAATTAGTTTAGTTTAGTTTAGTTTAGTTCAGCTCCTAATTTTTTTTTTCATAAATAATTCAATTCAGTTCTATTCGGTTCAGTTCAGCTCCAATTAATTCAGCTCAGCTCATTTCAGTAAATCAGAATAGACTATAAGATGAAGGGAGTAGCTCGTAGCTTACCACAATCAAACCATTAAATATAAATTCATGTACTGTATACAATATTGTTAAACTCATCACATCTCGAGAAAAAAACTAATCTTATCCTCCACTTTACCTTGTGCTCTCTAATTGGCTAACAATCTTGAAGCAAACCCCCCAAAAAAATTATATTAAATTAAAATTTAAAAAATGCTTAAGCAAGATTAATAATTAAAATAAATCAAAATATGGAGGTTTCCTTAAAGCATCAAATAGTGTAGGTTAATGGCAAACAAAAAGCCAACTAGCCAAATGCAATATGCATTGTCCACTACCCCAAACACCTCTCCTTCTCTTCCGCACTTTTTTTAAATTAATAATAAAATATTATTATATTTGACATCATTGTTTACGTCATTTTCCTCACTAATTTCAGGACAACCGTCCATTGAATCCATCATAACACGTGTCATCATCCTAATCGTTTTGCTAGTTCCCTTCTTGTTTCCCAATTTCCTTATATTATCACTCCTCTTCACTCACACCCAACCCTTCTTCTTTTTTCTCTCTCTTCAACCAAACAACAAAAATCATCAATTTTTTTTTTTAAAAAAAATTAATTCATAAACCGAAATTCTCACACTTTGGAAAATCATTCATTTGATTTGTAAAAAGGTGAGATCAGATCATCAAGATGTTGAGTACTGAAAGAGACAAGTACAGTACGATTAATTTCGAAGAGACGGAGCTTAGACTCGGACTCGGGCTCGGACTTCCCGGTGGATCTTGTGAACAACTAGCGGATCAGCTAGCGAAGAATAATAATGGTAAAAGAGGATTTTGTGAGACTGAAGTTGACTCCAATGTTGATTTGAAGCTTAATCTTTCGACTTCGACTAAGACCACTACCACAACCACCACCTCCACCACCACTTCTTCCGCCTCAGTAAAGGATACCAAGGCGGAACAAGGTGATCAAAAGTTGAAGGATAAAGTTAGTGCTGATGTTAGTGCTAAGACTACTTCTACCGCTGCTGATCCTGCTAAACCCCCTGCTGCTAAGTAAGTTTTCTTATTCTTATTTTTTTTTTTTTTATAGTTTTGGTACATTTAATTTCGTAAAATAAAGTATATGGTAAAGAAATTTAACAAATTAAGGCTTTATTAAGTTATTATATGGGTTAAATGATATTTTTTTTTATATTTTATTGCAAGTTGTTAGTTGGCAGAGTTATCCCATCCTACGCATGAATCGGGATTTAGATGTAAACTACTTTAGTTGGTTAATATTTCTAGTGTCACTTAAGTTTAGAATTTAAATTCTCTGTGTTATGCTATTTTCTATCAGTCAATATATCTTTACCAATAATCTTCAGAAAAAGATGGAAAATCTTATCTTAAAAGTGGTAGAAACCATGAAATTGTGAGAAATATAATTCTGCAACAAAATAAACATGCAAAATTCATGAATCTCTAATCCAAGATTAGCCAAAATTTGTGAAAAAAAGGATGGAAAAGTTAGGTAAAAAAAGTGTGACTTTGGTAGGAGCCACGTGTGGGTGAGTTAGTAGACGGTTAAACACGAGACTGTTATTTTTTACACACATGCACAAAGAAAGGAGACGACTTTGCTAACCCAAAAAAATAAATAAATAAAATTATAAAAAAGAAAAGAAAAAAGAGTCAGAAATTCGTCTGTTAGTGTTGCGTCTTGTTTGTTTATTAGGGAAAATGACAATTCCGTCTATCAAAGGTCTCATTTGCTGTCGGCTATTCAAGCACTAAATTACACCCAACATTTGGAATCTTTGCCTTTTTCTTTTCTTTTCTTTATTTTTATTTTTTTAATTTTTATTTACCCACCAAACACGTCCTTATTTATTTTTATTCAACTTTTAAACGTTTGGTTTTAATGCTTTACATCTGTTGTTATGAAGTTTGGTCCCCTTTTACCCGTGCGGTTTTTTTTTTTACCGTGTTAGATTTACTGTTTTACTGCTCTTCTTTTGATTGCTTGATCCTGTTGGATTCTGTCTGTTGAGTGTTGGGTTTAACTTGGGGTAAATGTAAATCTCTAGGTAGTTAAGATGTCGAGGTTGTTTACTCGGGTAACTTTTAATGTCTCATAATAAGTTCGTGTGAAACCGTTTTACTTCCGACTTGATCCGAAAAAAATCGGATAGTCAATTCGTCTTGCAAGTATTCAAGATCTTGTTTTGGAAAATGAATGAATTGAGAGACAGTATAACAAAAGGATCAATCATATGACGTATGGGCGGTGCATAACGAATTTCTTTTAGTTTTTTGATAAATTTATTATTAGGTAAACATTTACCTTGACTATTAATGGTCAAATATTGTTTTTCTAAGCTTGGTCTATTGTTAGGGAACATAGTAAATTAATATTTGTACTTGAATTACGACCTCAAAGCATGAAACAATCGTCATTTTTGCAACTACTCGTATATTCAAACGTGTTACTAGAGGAAAAAACCTAATTAAATTTGGTCAATGTTTGGTTTCGACAATGAAATTAGGCGTACCAAAACCTTGTTTTAGTCAAAAACTTGTTTATTTTTCTAATTCTAACGAAGAAAATCAAAGTGGTCTAGTCTAATCGAGTAAACAAGCATATACAAGTAAATTAATCATCCAAAATTTCTTCTTATTCAGGACACAAGTTGTAGGTTGGCCACCCGTTCGTGCGTTCAGGAAGAACATCGTAGCCACGACCCAAAAGAAGAGCTCAGATGAGCAAGCTGACCAGAAATCTTCTAACAACGCGGCCACAAGTGCCGCGTTTGTGAAGGTTAGCATGGACGGTGCACCTTACCTACGAAAGGTGGACTTGAAATTATACAAGAGTTATCAAGAACTTTCTGATGCCTTAGGCAAAATGTTCAGCTCCTTTACAATAGGTATAATACTTTTTAACCCCTAATCTTTATGATTAATATTGACTTTGGTTATAATTTTATATAGCTATGATGTGATACAATTGAGCTAATTATGTTAAATGGGTACATTAATGAAGGTAATTGCGGATCAAATGGAATGAAGGATTTCATGAATGAAAGCAAATTGATTGATCTTCTAAATGGTTCTGATTACGTCCCTACTTATGAAGATAAAGATGGTGATTGGATGCTTGTCGGCGATGTTCCATGGGAGTAAGTTTCTCAAGCTTTTATCCACAATATTTTTACTTGTTTGGTTAGAGCCTTAGAGGTTCATTTAAACACGAGATAGCATTGTCACGTGGTGTTCCTGTAATAAATTTTACATGTCTTTATAAGGCGTAATGAACTAATGACTAATTGGATCATCTTTGTGTAAAACAGGATGTTCGTCGGATCATGCAAACGTCTTCGTATAATGAAGGGATCAGAAGCCATTGGACTAGGTTTGTCCCTGAAAAACTTGCTAATTACTTGATTGATAATTTAAGATAATTATATGCGTTAAGATTGATTTTATGGTGTATAATTAACAATAATTAACTTAATTTCTTGCTTAATTGCAGCACCAAGGGCGGTTGAGAAGTGCAAGAATAGAACTTGAAGATATTTTTATGATGTTGAATGTTTGCACAACTTGTGTCAAATGTAAAACTTGTTCTTAATTTTCTTTTCCTTTTTTTTTTTAATTTTTTTTTTTTTTTTTTTTTTTTTTGGCTTAGTGTTAAAAAGAAAGCCTTATATAAAAATTTTAATAGTGATGGGAAGGCAGACCGGCTCGAGAGGGATCGAGCAAGATGTCTGGATGGTGTAATATTTTTGGTTAACGTTTCTTGAAAATTATGTGAAGAAAAGTTGTCAAATGATTATATAAATTATTTTATGCTTCTTTCATTTTATTGTTGAGTATACTATTGTAGAATAACTATTTTCCACAATATTAATTGTAGATAAACTAATCCTCCAATCAAATCTCTTGACGTTTGCTAATCTTTGATAAAATAATACGTCTTGAAAATTTCAAATCAAAAAATTATTGTTAAATAGTTTTTCTTGGACAAAGTTTATTAATTACAGAGTACGGAGTATTAAATTATCAACAACTGCGCATCAAAAGTTGTCGACGCAGTGTGTTGTGTCATAATTAAACCACTAATAAAACTATAAAAGCAATAATTAATTAAATAAATTAGGATAAGTTTAATCACAATTACATAAACAAATAATTTAGAGATTCGAAATGGACAAGTCTACAAGCATGAGCTAGCATATTTTTGTAATATAATCATAATTAAATTTATAAAAATGAAAAATTAAGACTAATTGTGATGTGGGCATAATGAGTTTGTCTGCAGTTAGCTTGTTTTTGTTCCCAAAAATCATGAAAATCTTTAAATGAGATACTCTGGTCTAAATACAGAATAGACAACCTAGAAAAAGTATAAATTTATTGGAATTGCTAGCAATAATGGAGACAATAGTGATTATGATCCGTGAAATTTGGTTTCTTTTGGACCTAGTCCATGTGCTTAATGTTTGGTCATATAAATTTTTGTTGGATCATTTTTCATTTGTTATTATCAAGGTTTTGTAATACGGAGTATATTTTTATTACTACGGTTCAAATTACTCGTAATTTTAGAGTATTATTTGTGAGATTTAAAATATTTTAAATTTACGAGTAATTTGAGCCAGGGGTAGTTTTTATTTTATTCATTATTATTCCATTTTCGTATTCCCATCCCGGATCTAAGGTTACCCGAGGAAGTAGTGTAATTCACGTACAATGTATAATGTCTGGATTGTGAATTTGTGCTTATGTACGGAGTACTTCCTACTTCCTTCGTTCTTCGTGTTCCCATTCCGTTCATCCGTTCCCATTCGTTATTGCATCATGTTGTTGTTTACCCGATTTATGTGGTTTCCTTAAATCATTTATTATTCTATTCATATAATTATTTGTCTATATTTTAAGTTGAAGAGCGAAACTTTTGCTAACATGCTAAGAAATATTTGTTTCAACAAGTGTTTTTACAAAATGTCAACATCTTATTACTTTTGCAAACACATGCTTCGCAATTAAAGATTTTGCACATGACCTTGGAAATAGCCGAGGAACAAAATTAAAAGGTTAGAGTATTGTTTTATGGAGTTTTTTTTTCCTCCTATTGTTAAATTGCTATATTTGTTTGACTTTTACATTGTTGAGTCCAGGAACAAACCCATATGTGAGCATTCTTTTGTCTCACACTTAAACACTAAAGGGGGAGTGTAGTGATAATGGAATCTCAAACTGAAAGAATTTAAGAGTTACCACCATAATATAATACTAAGGGGTTACTGCCCTCATTGTCATATGGTTTTGAAGTGTAATCTCATTGGTCTTGAAAAGTAGTGGACTTACACTCTCCCGGTTAATTAGACCTGATTTAACATGGTATCAGAGCCAGTTAGGTTCACGATCTCACGATTGAGGCCTTAATGACTAAAATATATTGGGACAAAAATTATGGACAACTCACATGTGAAGGGGAGTGTTGAATCCAGAATCAACCCACATGTGAGCATTCTCTTGTCCCACACTAAAAACACTAAAGGGGGAGTGTAGTGGTAATGGAACCCCACATTGAAAGAATTCAAAAATTACCACAACAATATAATGCTAAGGGGCTACTCCCCTCATTGCCATATGCTTTTGAAATGGAACCTCCTTGATCTTGTAAAGTGGTGGACTTGCACTCTCCCGTAACGGATGCAGCCCAGACCCGTAATTAACATACACCATCTACATATAACACTTTGATTAAGCTAAAGTTAGTAATTTTTATACTTGGTAGAACTGTCTCAAACTCTCAATATACACAGAGTAGTTGTCAAATATTCCCTTGTTTCATTTTGTTGTTCATTTTTATTTGACTTTGCATTGATATTCAAAACTTATATTTATGTTTGAATATCAATATCTTTAACTAAACCATATGTATTAACCAAAATTTTATAAATTTAAAATTATAACATATTGAGACGAATCTAAAAATAACAATAATAATCCAATAAGATCCTGAATGATTGTGTTTTCCTTTAATATAAATCCTACCAATTGTATAAAAATGTGTGTAAGGACTTGATTTGATTTACTGAATTGAACTGAATTGCATTGTTTATGAAAGAAGGAAATCAGGAATTAAACTAAACTGAATTGAAATTAAGATGAAGAGAACAAGTCCTTAGCGCAAAATTTGATTCATTCCTATTTTAGAAATGTATGAAGTACATTAATAACTTGAGAAGAATATAATCAAAATAAATGTAATCACGATAATGTGTGATAAGCGAATTTCATGGTGTTGGAGCGGATGTTATTAAACAAAGGAAAAATGATGAGTGAAGAGGGGAGGGATGGTTAGTCCCTCCATCTCCCTCAGATGTGACCTGGCCTGGGTTCAACTCCTCATCCCCTACTGTTATAGGAAGGGATCCTCCCTTATCTTAAATTTTTTAAAAAAGAAAGAAAATGCTCCAAAGTTAGCAATTTTAAAAACTAAAAGATAAGTACGTTAAAAATTTGTATAACTAGGTCAATTAAGTACTCAATTTGTCCTAATATAGTTTTAAAACTTTCCATCAGACACACAAGCCCCTTAAAATAACAGTATGTAACTTAAATATCACACATATATAAACTCTTCTAAAACATTATGCATTGATAAGTGTTATGACTACTTGTCTACTTTGATATGTAAGGAGTAGTAATATACTAGATGAATTGTTGAATCCATACATGACGATGAATGATTCGATCGCAAAGGTTCAAAGAAATGCTACTTAAGCTTTCGTGGTTGTTAAGTTTAAGCTTAGCATCTACATAAATAAAATTACTAGGTACATACAAGATTAATTTTTGAATATTCGGAGTATCATGGATTCATATAAACTAGCTCTTTTTTTCTTCCCTAAATATGCTCCTTTGATGATGGTGATGCAACCCTTGTTTCAATATACATTGTATATGCTATATATAGAAGTTTTGAGTTTAATCGAGCGAGCAAGCTATGATAATATGCTAAGGATCTGTTCTGATTGGCTGAACTGAGCTGATCTGAATTGAACATAATATTTTATGAGAGAAAGAAATTAAGAACTGAACTGAACTGAAAATAATCTGAAAAGAACATGCCCTAATTAAGTAAGTTTAATTTGTCAATGTGAATCGATAACCAACTTCCGTGGGATGATATGATGTTATATATACTATTATCTTTTTTTTTAATCTTGCGTATTAATATACTTCCTCCGTTATTTTTTACTTGACCCGCTTTGACTTTTATACTATTCACCACTCCTCCTTTGACCGTCTTTTGTGAATAATTTGTAAGGAAAAAAATGTTCATGTTGGATATTTTTGAATTCATCTCAAGAAGTACTATCATAATATATAACTTTTATAATTTTTACTTATGAAGAATTAAAGTTATTAATCGTTGAAGTTTTACATTGGCAAGCGTGATAAAAGAAACAGGTCAAGTAAAAAAGAACAGAGGAAGTAATTGAGTATTGATTTTGCATCAACAATTTGATTATGTATTATGTTATATAATGAAGTTGATACTAGCATTTATCAAAATGGAAGTTTACATCATAGAAAAATAACATTAGTAGACCTTCCTTTTGAGGGAAATACCAAATACTTTGCATATTATTATGACAACGGAGAGGGGAATTGAATACCATCATCTATGTAAAAAGATTCAAGTACATACAGGAGTTCACTAATAAGTGACCAACGTTTGTGATTTGAGAACCATATGTACGCTATTCATTTTAACTAACTTCTCTCTCCATATTTTATTACTTGCTCTATTTTTTCCGGGCACATATATCGATGTATTTTTTTGTTCAATAATTTTTTACAATTATCAATAAGTATAAATTATGATAATTGAAAATTAGTACTCCGTAATCTATTTATTAAGATGATTCCATTGAGTACCTATAAATTACAAATAGTAGTCAAAGTAGGTCAAATAAATAGTACAAAAAGTGCAAATGAAGCAATAAGTAATAAAATACGGAAAAAGAACTAATAATAAATACTCCATACATACATTGTAAAAGTAATATCAATCAATCAAACAAATTGACTAAACATAAGAAGTGAGATACAAAAATAAATTTTTTTCAAAAATATCTCAATTACATCAAATTATTTTAAGCACACATAATTAAAAGCAATAGTATAATATCTCAATAATCCTTTAACATCCAAAAGCATTGTTGAGAAATAAACCAACAATTCCATCATTGCTCCAACCAACCTCACCTTGAAATGGCTCCACTTGTGTATGAATAATAAAAATGTCAACTTGCATCAATTATTTTCTTAAGGAACAACAACTTTAGCTAGCCTAGCCATGTGATAATGTACATAAATTTAGTCGTTTTGCAAATTGCAATTGGAAGCAAAGCTACATACTTTTTCATTTTCGTTTATTCTTCGGAATTATCCACGAAAGATATGTCCATCATAGAATAAATCATTAATACAACAATATAATTTCATTAATAAAAGTCTTCCATTTTATTTGTTTAATATATATTCCTAATGTAACAACTTTCTTATTACTATTAATTAGTACTAATATACTTTGTTTCATTTTAATGCGACAACTACTTTCATTAATACAAAAGTCGGTGCATGCTTGATATAGTTGTTTAAAATAAGGATTAACTACTTGATTTAAGGGATGTGTATTAAATTAATGTACTAATAGGATCAAACCTTCAAAAGTGGAGATTTTATTGTATTAATCGAGTTCTTGGGTGACATTTGTAGATATACTTGTACTAACCAAATCACATCTTTTCGGGCATGTAATAGGGAAGAAGAATGTACA